ATATGAATGCATTAGTGAGAGCGATTGCGTGTCTGAATTAATTCTACCTGGCAGCGTTTCTCTACTAGTAGTGAAGCTGTGGGATTTAGTTAAGAAATATATGCTTGAACTTTTCAGTTTCTAAGCTATTTTATTGAGAAATCACAGAACAGTGTTGACAATACATTTCCGCGCTGAATGATTCTATGTGAGTGATGTACGCGCTACTGTCTGTAGCCTATGTGTGTGCGTTGCAGTGCAGCAGCGCATTAGATTAGAACGGCGATTAATTTACCTGTACAATAGGCTGTTTAAAACGTGCATTCTCCCATTCAATTTCGAGCATCCAGTAATATAATCACACATGTCTTGTGGAGCGCTTTCAGAGTATGCATTTATTTGTCATTTGAACTATTTGGAAACAGAGCGTAAATGTGGAAGTCCTTCAAAGATTTCTAATCCTGTTGCGCCCTCTATAGGACTAGCGACTAGTCGACGTCAAGCTTAAAGCATCATGGCAGAGCATTGAAGTCGACTAGTCGACTAGTCGATTAGTCTGTGCAACCTCTAGTATGCCCACGCCGCCAGACTTACAAATCCCTGCCTAGTGTGGAAGAGCACAGCTAAGGCGAGAGAAAGGGAGCCAGGAGTGGCGCAGAAGAGGATGCGTCAGAGAGAACCAGAGGGGACAGTGCGAGGTCTCTTGAGTCGCAACAGATACACCTCCAAATCTGCTTCACCACCTCAGGGTGAAGTTTCCATTCCCCAGGCCTCAGCCACTGCCTCAACAGGATTTCTGCTCCCATATTGAGATGCCCAGGGATGTAAACTGCTCTCAGCGAGGGGAGTTTCCTCTGGGACCACACAAGGATCTGGTGTGCCAGCCTGTAAAGGGGGAGCGAACGCAGACCTGGTTGATGTAATGTAAGGTTGCATTGGTGATTAATGTAAGAGACCACCGCTGTGTTGTCGGTGCGCACCAACACATGGCGATCTCTTAGGTCTGGGAGAAAGTGTTTCAATGCTAGAAACACGGCCAGCATCTCCAGGCAGTTGATGTGCCACGAGAGATGGCGGTTGCTAGCGTTACGCGGAGACAAGGAGCTCCCAGCACAGGGCCCTGAGACAAGAACCAAGGTCTCCTCCACATGTCTAAGGCACGAAGGCATAGCCGCGTGACCTTGATCATGCAAAGTGGATTTCCCCTCGGGGAAAACCTCTTGATCTTGACCCACCACTGTAGGGGTCTCATGTACAGCAGGCCAAAAGATATCACGTTGGACGCAGCTGCCATCTGACCCAGCAGTTTTGAAACTGCTTGACAATGAGTTACCGGCCCTCCCTCACTCTCACGACTGCCGTGAGGATCGAACCGAACCGAGCAGGAGACAATTGTACCTGCATCGAGGTCGAATCCCACACCACGCCCAGATAAGTGGTTCTTAGTAATGGAGAAAACACACTATTCTTGCCATTTAGTCTTAACCCCAGCACTTTCGTATGGGCAAGAACAACACCTCGATGTTGAACCGCCGTCTGCTCCGATAGAGCTAATATCAACCAAACGTTGATATACTTCAGTATGCAGATGCCCTGGAGTCGAAAGTGCGGGGTGAGAGTGCAAGGCCAAACGGAAGAACCCGATACTGGTAAACTTCGCCCCCGAAAGCAAACCTCAGGAACTTCCTGTATTGGGGAAGGCTGGAGACAAGGAAGTATGCGTCTTTTAGATCGATCGTGACAAACCAGTCCTCGGACCTGATCTAAGACATGACTTGTTTGATTGTGAGCATCCTGAAATACAGTCACATGACTGAGCGGTTCAATTGACGCAGATCTAAAATGGGACGCAACCCTCCATCCTTCTTTGGAACGATGATGTACCAGCTGTAGAACACAGACTCTTTGTCGAGAGGAGGGACCACCTCGATGGCCTCCTCCTCCAGAGAGTGTTTACTTCTTGTTCCATTACTAGAGCCTGCTCAGTGCCCACCAGAGTGGGAAGTACCCTGTTGAAATGAGGTGGCAGAGAACCGAATTGGATTCTGTAGCCTCTCTCTACAGTGTGCAGGACCCATTGAGACACATTTGGCAGAAGCTTCCACGCTGCCAAATAGTCTAGTAAGGGAATCAGTCTCTCGAGACTGACCTCTGGTGTAATAAGAGCGGCTAGATCGGTGCCCTGAAACAGACGAACCAGCAGTGAACGACCACTCTAGCTGCTCTAGAGACCTCCTCGGAGGTAGCGAGCCCCCCAGCACTGTTTCCGGGCGGATACTAAGAGTCACGCCCGCTGGAGACCGCTGTCCCCTGAAGCACTGGGGGTGGCAGGGTTGACAGACCGATCTCCTGAGGGCACTGAGGAGAGACGGGCACCGTATACTGTATACTGATGTACACTGCTCTTCCCCAGAGGGGCCTGCCCTCAGAAGTCCTGAGCCATGGGCATCAGGACTTTCTTTTGGCCGAAGTCTCCAATTGAAAATGACAGTCCTCAGACCCGTCATCTCCTTGGAAGACTTAGACTGACAGAACCAGAGCCTGCTCGGGGCAGGACCCAATGAGACACGTTTGGCAGGCGCTCCCACACCGCCAGGTGACCTATTAAGGGAACCAGTCTCTCGAGACTGGCCTCTGGTGTACTTAGAGTGGCCAGCTCGGTGCCCTGAAGTGGAGGACTGGCAGGGGACGAACAAACTAGCTGCTCTAGAGACCTCCTTCGAGGTAGTGAGCCCCCCAAAACCGCTACTTTTCCGGGAGGACACTGAGAGTTGCACTCGCTGGAGACCGGTGTTCCCTGAAGCACCGGAGGTGGCAGGGTTGACAGACCGATCTCCTGAGGGCACTGAGGAGAGACGCGCACCATATAAGGAGGTGTACACCGCTCTTCCCTAGAGGGGGCCGGCCCTCAGAAGTCCTGGGCCATAGGCGTCAGGACGTTTTAGCCGAAGACTATCCTGCGAGAATGACGGTCCGCAGATCTGCCTAAACATCCAATGTAATGTTCCTTTTTTTTTAGGGACATTTACAGAATGAAAACAGCCAGCCCCCTCAAGAGCTGACTGTACGTGCTCTGCTCCAAAAGAGACTACACACAAATCGCGTGCATCCCCACCCCTTATTTAGCGAGGGCAGGGAGAATGAGCGATCCAAAAGCAGTCTGCTCATATGCAAACAATATCAATCTCCTCAGAGCTGCAGCAGCGAGCTCTCACTCAAAGGGGGAAGAGACCGCATCGCAGGCTTCTGAACCCCGACAGAGAGTGCTAGATCTAGGTAGTGCAGACGGAGTAAGGGCGAGCCCGTCTCCAACCCATCCGCTAGATCTATGTGCGATCTCCACTATCTCAATCGCTGCCGTGCCTCAGCAGCAGCGGGACTGGAACCACAACGATCACAAACACGGACACAAGTGGAGCTCCGCTCCCAAGCAAACAACACACAAACCGTGTGTATCCCCACCCGTAATGTAACGTGGGCAGGGTGGAACACACAGTCTAAAATGCTGCTTGCTTTCGCCCTTAAGCTTTGTCTTTTGAGAAGCATTAGACATAATAAGATTGTGCAACTGAGACAGACAACAATAAATAAGACTGACACACACAGAGTGCTTGCTGAATGACAGAAAGCTGCCACTGTATCCACCGCACGTGCTTTTAAGCTTCCTGGTCTCTACTTCACCCCGCCCATCTCGCCCATCCATTGGACTGATTACACACGTGATTCAGACCGTGGTCACGCTGAGGGTGTTCCCATAGCGTTTCGACACAGCTCGAGTTCCTGAAGGGGAACTGTAATATGGTGAAGACTCACCTCATGCATGGTCAGCAGGTAGTTGAGAATACTTTGAAGCTCATCTTCTTTAACACCTCGGTCCTGACGAATAAAAAACCAACAAGAAAACGCTGAGCAACGCTACTTTTGCAATATGCTCTTGGTAAATACCCAAATGCACTTATAAGCTGCTACTGCCATCAGCATGCTGACAGACTATGAAATATAAATAGAAAGAAGAAGAAAACACACATAATAACAATGAGTTCAAATTCAGTGAGGCTGTTTGTGTTTGCTGAAATTACTGTTCACAGCGAATTTGGGTCCTGACTTTTACAAGCTGTCTCTTATTATTAGGAAAGCAGCATGAACTGTCTGGTTGTAGCAGTGCTGATAAATGCACACGTTTCCTATTACTGCAAGAGCACAGGCAGCTTGAGAGCTAATTGTTGTTTGCTCGTGCTTTGGCTACCTGACAGATTTCTTGATATGGTAGCACTGGACTGAACAAGTGTACACTTTTTCCTACGGTCCTGTTAGAAAATGGTAAACAGCTGGGGCTGGTGAATGAGAACGAACACCTGCCAAAGCAACAACCCTAGAGCAGCTGTTCTCTGTACTTTGATAAATCAACACATGTGTATTTGTGACAGGCACACAATTAAAAATGAATTATTCTTTAAATTATTATTTTTTTTTTTTTAATAAAATTTTTGCCTTCACGCATTCATATAACAATGCTTATAGTGTGACCAATATATATATTTTTAAAATAATGCAATCTATCTATCTATCTATCTATCTATCTACCTATCTATCTATCTATCTATATATTTGTTTGTTTTTTTATATATTAAGTAGCATGTGACCTTCCCAAATGTATTATAACTACCTTACAACAACAAAAATGTAAACAAGAATTAATGATTATTAATTATAATTAAAACTAGAAAAAAAAGTTTGTCAAGTCAAACTTTAAGTTGGCTTGAGAAACCTGACCAGAAAGTTTGAAAAAGTCTTAAAAGGTTTTAAAAGTTTTGAAAGTTTGACGGTTTGCAGTCTGAAACAGTTTGAAGTTTAAAGTAGTTTTAAAGCTTGAAGCTTGAATATTTTGAAGGTAATACAGTCTGTCAGATAGATAGATAGATAGATAGATGGTGTTTGCTAGGTTGCTGTTATGTGATTGCTAGGGTACTCAGGGTGGCAGCTAGGGTACCGGGGTGGTTGTTAAGGTGATGATTTGCAGTTGCTAGGGTACCCAGGGTGGTTGCTAGGATATTCTGGGTGGTTGCTAGGGTACTCGGGGTGGTTGCTAGGGTGTTCCTAAGCAGTTGCTAGAGTACTCGGGATGGTTGTTAAGGTATTCTGGGTGGTTGCTTGGGTGTTGACATGTGGTTGCTAGGGTATCTGGGGTGGTTGCTGGGGTGTTGCTATGTTATTGCTGGGGTACCTATGCTCTCTCAAGCCAACTTAATAATGAGAAACCAATTATTAAAATAAAATGTTTTAAAAAAACAAATGTTTTAAAAGTTAAGTCATTATAATTGTATTTTTATTTGTGTGCATATGCTAAATATGATCCAGTTACACAATATCTGAATATAAATGCTGCTCACCTTCAGTATGAGCTGTTTGAGGAAGAGCAGCATGAAGGCTCTGAGGGAGGTGATCTCTTTCTGTGAGGGCCGAGGACCGTCTGCTAACACAAAGTCACAGAGGAACTGTTACAACAAACTACACTACATCTAAAAAATGTTATGTCTAATGTTTCACAGATATTGGCATTAAATTCATAGCAACAGTGTCAGTGGAGGGCTGCGACACAGACAGCAGCTTCTGGCAGCCGAGAAGAGCTTTACAGAAGTCAGAGTTCTCAGAAGAAAAGCCAAGCCCTTATTAACTCCAGACGGGAAGACAGCTAGAGTTCAACAGGCCACAGTTCATTTCAGCAACATCTGCGATGGTCTCTCATCCTCCTAGAGCTCCTTTTGAGCACAGTGTGCATGTGTGACAGCTTTTCGTTTGCTGTTTTACTGGGAATGGCCTGAGCATTGATATAAAATGAAACACAAATTGAATAGCTGTCATATTCACACATTCATCTCGGGAGGTCTGATCACCACCAATCATTCATTACTACACTGTCTGAAATGATCAACTCTGCTTCATCTCTTTCCCTATTCATTTGACAGCAGCGACCAGCAATTTTTAGAGAAATTACATGTCTCTAAAGGTTTCATTCATCAAGAACTGTAAAGCATAATTTTAAGCAACTGGAGCGGTTTTTCCATTTATCTCAAAATAAAGATCAACATGTTCAGATTTTGCTTCAATCTATATTTCTGAATAAATGGAAGCAGTCCAGTTACTAATTATAAAATTCTGCTAAATATTTATTGAATATTAACTCAAATATTAAACAATTCAAACAGCCATTCAATAAACAGATTAAATGCAAATTTCTTTTGTTTCCATCCTATTTTTTTTTTCTTTTGACAAACGTGTTTTAAATTTAAATATTCCATCATAATAATTTTATAGTGTTTTATTTTATTTTTTTATTATTATTTTTTTTTACAATTTTAATTGACTACTATGCACAAAATACTAAAATAAAATAAAATATAAAAAATAAAATAAACTTAGGGAACAGCAATTTTTCAACCAAACAAATTTTCAGTTTTTATACTGTAAAAATAAAAGTTATTTCAAACATGTATTCGACAGGTAAGATTAGCAAAATACATGTCCTGAAAATATCCTAAAAGACCCTAAAATAATAGATTACTATAAGTATTATTTGTCACATAATAAGTATATTGAAGTATTAGCTATTTTTAGAAGCGAATTCTCCATGCTTTTGTAGACTGCTATTTTTTTATTATTATTATTTTAGAGACTGTTTACAATATTGCAGCATATTCGCAATGTGACTGACACATCTAAAATGTAATTCCGTGTATTAGCTTCATTGTGCAACATAATATATGTTTGTGTTGTGGATGCAGCTGATTAATCTCGTTTGCATAATATGCATTTGAGTGAGCTAATCAACTCGCTAGTAAAGTGTTAAGTAGCTCAGTTTACCAGTGTTCAGCGTTCAGCTCAAGCAGGTTTTAGTTATTGCTGAAATACACCTTTCTACGTTGTCTTCAATGCCGATGACTAAAAAACGTCAATAAACATTTTCAGCAATCATTTCATTGATGAGATTAGCATTGCTTTTATTAAACAGATTATCTAGTTTAGTTTAAGAGTCTGCAGTGGATTGTCCATTGTCTTCATCATTCATTCAATGTGATCGTTTTTAATGCAAGCACTTTTTAAAGTGAGATCATGGGATGTTACCAACCTGGTCAATATGCTGAGTGATTACAGTATGCATTTTTCTCAAAATAATTCATAATTTGTCCAAACAAATCTAAACAAAATAGATTATTCCTAAACCCACATTAATCTGAACAGCCATTACAGTATTAAAAATAATATTAAACACGTAATTTCATTAGTAAACACCAAAATCTGCAATCTAAGAGACTTTGGAACAACTGGCCGTATAAATTGGTGCCAAGTTTATCTCAAAATTGAGCAAAACAAAGGGGAAAAAATATTTTTAATTAATTTGCCTGTCTACTGGATCTCATTAGAAGACCAAAGTCATGATTAAAACAAAACTAAACAGATCAATAGAATGACTGATATCTCTTTTACTTAATAACACTTCTTCCTGTACCATTTAATTGATTGTGAATATGAACACGCACTGCAAACGCTGTCTCTTATTTGCAAAGAGTAATGAATCTGGCATGGTGTCAAACAGATAATCAATGCATATGTACTCTCACATCCCCCCTACGCAGTGCACTATCCTTAAGATTGGCCCAAAGCTTCACATCAAAATGGATCTGCAGGACATATACAGAAGTGAAATTAAAAACGATCCCTTCAGAGGGTGTAAATATTAATGCAGGCCACAGTAAATATGCTGTAATTGGGTTTGGAGTCATACTACGGCTTATCTTCTAAAGCCAGGAATATGGGAAAACGAAGCCAAAAGGAGGAGAATTTATTCAGCCCCTGGAGTTTTACACAAAGCTTTCTCGCAGCAGAACTGGACTTGGGTTTTGACCAGCTAAACATTAACAAAGGTGATTAACCATGTGCACGCAAAAATATTCACACTTCCCAGGATTGCCACAAAGGGCGCTAATGAGTCATAGTAGTTGACCCAAAAATGAAAATTTGCTGAAAATTTTCTCACCCTCAGGCCATGCATGTTCACAGGAACAGATTTGGAGAAATTCAGCATTATAACACTTGGTCATCAATGGATCCACTGTAGTGAATGGGTGCCGTCAGAATGAGAGTCCAAACGACTGATAAAAACATCACAATAATCCACAAGTAATCCACATGACTCTAGACCATCAGTTAATGTCTTGTGAACAGCTGCGGGATTGTAAAAAAAACACAAAAAAAACATATCCATTATTAAGGTGTTTTAACTTTAATCTGTCGCTTTGGGCCAAAATACCATAATCTATAATAAGGAATACATTACACTTCCTTTAGTGAAAAAGTCCATCCCCTGTTGTCCTCTCACATCAAATCCAATGACAAATTTGTTTAGAGTTTCGTCAGACTGGTTTTGCTTGTAAACGGTGCTTGTTCTGTGCATATATCTCTCCTAATTCAGACTAGATTTTTCACTGCAGAAAGCAATATTATGGATAGTGGACTTGTATTTTAGCTGGAAGCAACAGTTACAAAGTTAACAGTTGCTTCCAGTACATCAATGTCTTTCTTCACAAGATGTTAATTGATGGACTGGAGTCATGTGGATTAATTGTGGATAATTGTGATGTTTTTATCAGCTGTTTGGACTCTCATTCTGACGGCCCCCATTCACTGCAGAGGATCCATCGGTGTGAGCAAGTGTATGCTCAATTTCTCCAAATCTGTTCCGATGAAGAAACAAACTCATCTACATCTTGGATGGCCTGAGGCATAACGTCAACTGTTTTTAACTTCCTCTACAGTCTATTTTCTCTTTTAGGTCAATTGTAGTCATAAGAAAGCAACAGTTTGAACTGAAACTCGCAGCGCTAGTTAGTGAAAGTTAGTCAATATGTCAACATGTTTACAACTAGCTATCCGAACAACAACACATCTAATTTAATGGCACAGACATCTACAGACAGCTATCACTGTCTTGAGTACTGAGGTTTGTTATATGCAAGAACTAAAGTTAAGTATACACAAAAGGACCCTTCGCTTGTGTGCTTGATGCTCCTTGAGGGAGTCTTTCTATGTTCCTCAAGACACTGCTGAGGAAAGACTGTCTATGCTGTTGAAAACAATAGGCAGGAGTGATGCATGACTTTAATTTGTGAGGTCTTGCTTGCTTTTACAGAGATAGAGAGAGTGTGAGAGAGAGAAAGGGTTGTGGTTAGCTGATGTTACTCCAATGTAAAACAGAAGTCTTTGTTGCAGTAATTGAACACTTCATTATGTTATACTGCTTTCTCTATAACCCATTCCTTTGTGGGAAAAGACAAAAAAAAAAAAAAAAAAACG